GAGGATCTGGAGGCTTTCAAGCACCTCCTGAGCAGGACTACGACCCCCAGCAGGCACACATGGCTGTCGAACGCCCAGGAATGCTGCTCAGCTTTACCAACTTCCTGAAGACACAGGGATTTTAAGTTTTTGTTTCATATTTTTGTTTTGTTCTTTTTATTTTAAAAGCAGATTGTACAGAGAGAAGGGAGAGAGGTCTCTTCCATCTACTGGTTCACTCCGCAAACGGGTGCAATCACTAGATAGAAGCTGATTCAAAGCCAAGAACCAGGAGCTTCCTCTGGGTCGCCCAAATGGGTATGGGAGCCCAAAGACTGGACCATTCCCACTGCTTTCACAGGCCACAAATGAAGAGCTGGCTCAGAAGTGGAGCAGCTGGGACACAAACTGGAGCCCATATACGATGCTGGCACAGCAGGCAGAAGATCAGAATGGTAGGCCATTGCACTGACCCCTAATGTAACGTTTATTCCAAGGAATAGCCATTGCTTTGCACAGCTGTGTTGATGAATTGTTTCCTTGTTTTTCAGCAAGTGTCCCTACACAGAAAGCTTTTCACACCTAACAAGATCCAACTCGGCAAAATAAAGACAGTCCTACAAGTGGGCTCTTGCAGGGAGTGTCACTTCTCTTGGAACGAGGCTTTGGAGGCATGCCAGCCCTTTCTGCCTTGCCTGGGGGCTCCAGACTGCTGCTTTCAACCCATGTACTGCTGGTGGTCAAGGATACAGCAGGGTTGCAAGCAGGGAGGCAGAGAAAGAAGGCAAGTGAAAAATGCCATGCAACTCATTGTTCAAGGTCGTGTTCAAGCTCAGCTGTTCCACAAACAGCAGCAGCTAAGATGGAGCCAGACTGCATACGTTTTGCAGCCTGGCTATACCCTGGGGTGGGCATTGTGGCCTAGCATGTTGAGCTGCCTCTTGGGATGCCCACAGCCCACATCAGTGTCGCTTGTACCCAGTTACTCCACTTCCATCTACCTCTCACTAACAATGCACCTGGATGCGGCAGATGGCAGCTCAGGTATGTCGGTTCCCACCACTCATGGGGGAGACCCCGGATGAAGTTCCTGGTTCTTGGTTTGAGCCAAGCCCATACATAGCTGTTGTGACTATTAGGCGAGTGAACCAGAGGACAAATCTTTGTCATGCTGTCTTTCAAATAAACAAATAAAAGGAAAATGTTCATTCAAACGAATGTCCTAATTTCTAGATGGCAGACCCAGTATGCTAGAAACCCTTTTATCACATCTGTGTGTGTGTATACACACGTGTTTTTAATTTGTAAAATATTAGGTAGTTCTAAGAAATAACACCTGTTATTTTTTACAGGTGTTATTTATTTTATTTATTTCTGCACAAAGGTGAGTGGGGAGAACCTCAGCCAACCCTTGCAAATCTCATTACATTTGGAAATGGTCTCCAAACGCCCCCACTTTCCTGCTCCCTCGAGGCATGGCCCAAACAGCATCCTAGACCTTGAAGTCACCTTGCTTCTTGACTGACATGGCAGCCACCAAGCTCGGGTCAGTCCTTTCCTAGTCACTGGTAACGCTGCCTGCTCTGTTAGCTGATGCTCCTGGGTTGGGGCAGTAAGAGGTGAAAGACTTTTGGACAGGCAAGAAGCTATATTGTAAAGTACAGACTTTATAAAACATCTGGTACTTGCTGAGTCCCTGGAGAACTGTAGGAATGGCCCCGTCACCCTGATTTTGGCTGCCCCTTCCTGGAAGCGAGCAGAAGCGTAAGGAGACCACAGAGCTAGAAAGCATGAGATGTCCAGGGCTGTACTGGCTTCCCTTAGAGGGTGTGCTTACCAGGCTATGGAGCGACTGCATCCTGGTACTGAGTCACAGGAGGCTGCCTCGCCTCAGTGTCGGTGCACTTAGGACTCCAGCCTCATACATCAACCCAACGCAAATGTTTTGATTCCTGCTGAAGCCATGTGGAACTTTCTGTAGCCTAAACAAGGATGTCTGCTTTTTCAAGTCAGGAAAGAGAAACCTGGATTTATTACTAGTTTTAAAACTTGGCCTTGGAAGTCCCTAGGGATTACAAAGTAGGTTTGTACTACTGGGAACATGACAGGCAGAACCTCAGTGGCAGCTGCGGCTGAGGCAGTTCCCTTTGCCTGTGCACATGAGAATTCATAAAGTGCAACAGCAAACAGGAGGCAGACCCACACCCAGTACACCTGATAAGTCAGAGCGCGAGGGTCTTCTAGTGAGGTGTGCAGTGCATAAATGGACAGACGTCTCCTGCAGTCCTTGCTCTCCTGGCCCAGAAAGGTCAGGCCACAGGTGGGGGCTCCTCATGGCCCAGGAAGGCCGGGTCTCAGGTGGCAGTTTGTTCTGATTCAGGAAGGCCGGGTCGCAGGTGGAGCTTCCTCCTTACTCAGGAGGGCTGGGTCGCAGGTGGGGGTTCCTCCTTACTCAGGAGAGTTGGGTCGCAGGTGGGAGTTCCTCCAGGCCTAGGAAGGTCCAGGAAGGCCGGGTCGCAGGTGGGGCTCATTCCTCTCTGAGCCACCTGCCAGCTCCTGTGCACTGATGGGATTTTTAAATGTGAGATTAAAATACAGGTTAATAGAAGTTGTAACATTGTACCTGCATGGAGGAAACATGCTAAAATGGACTCCACAGACACAAGAAGGCTCCTGCTGTGGTGCTACCCTGGATTTTAAAACTTCCTGCTAACTTCAAGTGAACTTAATGCTGCAAACTCACCTGAACAGATTCTACTTTCCAAGTACCCTTCCATGCAATACTGCTACTGCAGCAGGTATTTTTCTAGCTAACATAACTGTTGCTCAGCAGAATGTGATATGCTCAAACAACCTTGGACAATTCAAATATGCAGCATGGGGGCCAGTGTAAGGGCTCAATTGGTTAAGCTTCCATCTCCAAGCACCAGGATCTCATATGGGTGCCAGTTCATGACCCAGCTGCTCCACTTCCCATCCAGCTTTGTGGCCTGGGAAAGTGGTTGATGATGGCCCAAAGCCATGGGACCCTGCACCTGAGTGGGAGACCTGGAGGAAGCTCCTGGCTTCGGTTCATCTCAGCTCTAGCCACTGTGGCCACTGGGGAGTGAACCAACCAATGGAAGATCTACTTCTCCTGTCTGTAAATCTGTCACTTCAAGAAAAGTAAATCTTGAAAATCCAAAACCAAAAGTCAGCCGTAGAGGAATCTTCCTCCTTGTAACAGCCAGAGATCAGGGGTGATGTCTGTGAATTCACCGTAACATTTCCATACTGAACCGCACCAGGGAGACCACATCCTGAGTTCCATTCTCATCTGTAAAGCTCAGGCCACCAGGGATAGAGGGGGAGGCGGCCTCTGCTCCCCTGGCCAGCCCCCTGCTGCTCAATGTTCGCTGGAGAGAAGATGCCTGACTGGTGAGAACCTTTGCAAACTTTCCAAAGAACTAAAGCAAACTTATTGCAAGGGGAATCTTGACTATTGAACTTCCACACATTTCACAGCTCCAGATGTGTGGCTGTCAAGAACGACGGGAGAAGATGGAGCGGCATTTTGCTGGGACTTAGGTGCCAGGCAGCAGACATTTAGGTCTGTGGCATGTTTGTGAAGATTTATGCCACATTTCCCTCCTCCTTAACGCATGTAGGGGGTGATACTCAAACCTGACAACCACTCCAGAGTGCTGGGTTTCAGTGCAGTCCTTCCATTCCTGTTTGGCTCCAAACCACCACAATGTCAAGGCTGAGCAGGAGACAAGAGTGAGGGAGTGTGCATGCAGCTGGGGAACTGGGTGATGTTGTTCTGCCACCACTGCCCACTGGAGGCCTTTCTGGGCAGCAGGCGGCAGGGGCACTGTAAAGCAAACACATGCTGGTCAGCAAACCAGGGAGGGCTTTTGGCACTGCGAGAGGATGGCTTTACAGGGGCAGGCAGCAACACTGATTTATAGAGTTGGAAATTCTTTGAATTCTTCCACCTAGCAAACCTTCCTGCTCTGCCTCCCAGAACTGCATTCAAATTATAAAAAAATGTTTTAAAAAAACCAGTCATTTGGGGCCCAGTGCAATGGCTCAATTGGTAATCCTACACTTGCTGGTGCTGGCATCCCATATGGGCCGTTTGGCTGGCTGCTCTATTTCTCAACCAGCTCCCTGCTTGTGGCCTGGGAAAGAAGTAGAGGATGGCTCAGTACCTTGGGACTCTACACTTGCACGAGAGACCTAGAGGAGGCTCCTGGCTTCTCTGTAAATATGCCTTGCCAATAAAAATAAAGAAATATTGAAATAAAAAATCATTTGGCAGCTGCCACCCAATGAGCAGCTGGCAGCACTCACTATGACAACACCACCTGTGGAAGGCAGGGCAGGTGTGACAGTCCTGCTTTTGGGAAGGGTTGCTGTCCCACACATTCTGTACTGAGATTTCCCGTAGGACTCCTAGGCTACCCTGGGACCTGCTGGAAGGCCGCTGGACGGCAGTATGCCCAGTCAGTAGTTGAGGCTCAGGTTGCACACTGCCCTGCACACCTGGCAGGTAAGTGAGTATGCAAGGGCTGTGCGTGGAGTCGGCCTGCAAGGACCTGGAGGCAGTGCCTGGAGCCTGTTTTTGGTGTGCAGCAGAAAACCTTTAGTGTAAATTTAATCATAAGCCCATCCAACAGGACATGGGAGAACTTAATCTGAGGTGTGCCTCCGCCTTTAGAGTTCAGAAGGTCTGGCTGCATGCTGTATAAGGCTGCAAAAGCAACTGGCCTGGCCCTGTCAAGGCAACCACAATCAGGACTCGAAATTCACTAATCGACAGCAGCTTAATTTTTAAGTGGATAATTTTCTATGGCCTGTGAATGATGTTTTAAAAGGTCCCCCACCACCCCCTGCCTCCCATTATAAGGAAGACGTTTAGACGGAGAAAGAGAACTCAGATCTTCGAAAGCTTTCAGCATTTCTCAAATTCCTCTCTGGTACATAAAAACACTTAAAAGAAAATTTCTACGATGCTCTTTCTGTAATATTTCAAAAGAATGTATTTTATTACAATCTACATTTCCGGTTTTCAGATGCTGGTCCACTGCAAGGCTGTGCCTGATTGTGGTTTCGCAGAGGGGGTGCACGCGGGGGTCCTCGGGGGCCTCCCCCAGGCTCTTGCTTTGCCACCAACCTAGGCACCTCTTGCATCCCTAAAGAGTTCAGAATCCAGGTGCTGGGCTCAGCTCAGTCTTTAAAACCTGGCACCCCTTCGTGGGAGAAAGTTGGAGGATAACCCCTTTGGGAGAGAAGCCTCTGGGGGAGATGGAAGTCTCGCTGGAGGTTTGTGTGTGCCGGAGTCGATCTGGCCGTCTGTCGGATGATAGCTCTGTAGGGAGCTGAGGCGTATTTGCTTCAGATGGGATTTGGGACGCCTCATCCAAGCAAACAGCAAGCAGGTGGGCGAGACACTGTCAGGATGAACAAACCACAGAAGATCCAGGCTCCCTCATCTGAGGGAGGATATATTCCAGCTTGGAGAAGGGTCAAGTCTTTTCCCATCACGACAGTTCCACAGAGTTCTGCAGCACCCACACTGGACACAGCAGGGCGAGAGGGCCTGGTCCGGCCTGCCTGCAGCCTTCTGCTTCTGCTGAGGCGGCCGCGGTACAGAGCGCGGCGTGGAGCAGGCAGAGCCGCGGTGGCTGCGCAGGGCTCATCAGCTCAGCAGGTGGAAAGTCTGCAGACACTGGCTGGAGCAGCAGTAAGCTACGAAGCTCACAGCTGTCCTCCTGGAAGGGGCGGGGAGAAAAGGACACCGTGAGTTTCAGACGCAAGCTTCTAGACTCTTTCCACTGGAGAGTCTCATTCGTTGTTAAACTAAAGCTCAGCCAAGTTCCCCAGTGGGGAGAGCACACACTCTCCCCAGGCTAGCCGGGAGGGAGGAATGAACCTTCTGCATATTCCACCTGCCTGTTTACTAGAAGCACAACTGCAAGCACAAGGACTGCACTGGGAGGTCTGCAGAGGCAGAAGGCAGGAAGCAGCTGTCTGGGAACGAGTACATGAGGACAGAGGGGTAAGAGCTTATGATCAGAACTTCATTTAGAGGCAAGAAAATATTCCAGCATCAAGTAGTTAATTTGCAAAGATCTTTGGATACACTAGAAGCCAGCTGTACAATTTAAAGGATGAGCTGTATGAGTAAAACTATTAAAAATAGAGCTGGAAGACAAACAAATAGATAAATTCATAATCAGAGCTAGAAACTTCTAACAACCTACTCCCAGCAACGGGCTCAACTATCAGCAGAATCAGGGAGGGTCCAGAGTTGAACATCACAACGAACCCTGGGTCTGTGGCTGGACAACAGAGCAAAACCAGTTCTTAAGAGCGAACTTCAAGACTATCTACATGTAGTTTTAAAAGAAGGGTTCAAATCAACAGCCCAAACATCCACTAGGAGATCAGAGAACGAAGAGCAATCAGTTCAAAGAAAGTCAAAGTCACCGAGTGTGCTTCTGACCGCAATGGAAACAACTGGAGAACAGCAACAGAAGGCGGTCAGGAATGTTCCTGAACATGCGGAAACGAAAGGACATGCTTCCTTGGTCCTTGGTCGTATCTGACGCTCGGGTCACACTGCTGCACCTCCGGGGCTCTGAAACCGGGTGAGGGAGGACGAGACGCTTTACATCTCTCTGTCTCCTGTAAGTAAAGATTCTGGAAAAGAGCCTCAGTTATGGGGCAGGTAGGCTGTTGGCCCAGAGATTAAGATCCTGTCACCTGTGACTCCCACGTTCCTGCCGCTGCAGACTGCTGAGATAATGACACAGGTAGTGGGGTTCCTGCTATCCACAGGAACATGAGGCTTTCCAGCCCCCAAGTGGGTCCCTGCTGGGGTACCACTGCATGTGTTTGGGGAGAGTCACTGGATGGGAATTCTCACTTTCTGTGCTTCAAGTGGATACAATTTGTTTTAAAGACTTATTTTTATCGGTAAGGCAGATTTACAGACAGAAGGACAGAACACGATCTTCCATCTGCTGGTTCACTCCTCAAGTGTCCTCAATGGCTGAGGTTGAGCTCATCCGAAGCCAGGAGTCAGAGCTTTTTCTGGGTCTCCCACATGGCTGGAGGGTCCCAAGGCCCTGGGCCATCATCCACTTTCCTCCGAGGCCATAAGCATGGAGCTGGATGGGAAGTGGAGCAGCCAGGATACAAACCAGCACCCATGTGGGATCCTGGTACTTGCAAGGGGATGATTTAGCCACTGGGCCACCACACTGGGCCCAAAAGATATACATCGTACAAATATTTTGGGATATAGCTTCAGCATTGCTGAGAGAAATTTATAGCACTAAATGCCTACATTTAGAAAATAAACATCTCAAATCAATAATCTAGGCTTCTGGGGCTGGCAGCGAGGCATGGTAGGTTAAGCTGCCCCTTACCACCCTCCCCCACCTCCGCCACACCTGCCCACAAGGCCAACATCCCATACGAGCACTGGTTTATGTCCTAGCTACTCCACTTCTGATCCCCTCTCTCTGCTAATGTGCCTGGGAAAGCAGCACAAGATGGCCCAGGCATTTGGGCCCTTGCCCCGCAAACAGAGGTCCAGGCTTTTGGCTTTGGTTTGGTCCAGTCGTTTGGGGAATGAACCAGCAGGTGGAAGATCTTTCTTCTCTTCCCTTCTTTGTCTCTCCTTCTTCCTATAACTCTCTCTTTCAAATAAAATCTAAAAAACAAAACAAAAATCCCAATAACCAGTAAAGTGGACAAAGACAAAAGGAGAGAAACTACAGAATTGGAGATGAGGTAGGTGACATCACAACAAAGCTTGTGATCTTTAAAGAGGAATGAGGGGGTAGTATGAACAACTGCACAGATGCATGTCAGACATTTAAAATAGTGTCTTTCATGGTCCCTCAGCAAGGTACTAACAACTCAGAAATGCATAAAAAGGACTTTGCAGTGTGATCTAATTGAAGTTATTCTAGGTATTTTAGAGTCTGGGATAAAGTTTGAGAACCCATGTCATCTGTCATATAAGGATATTGAAGAAAAACCATATGGTCACTTCAGCAGACTCAGAAAAGGCATCTTACAAAACACAAAATTCCATTCTCAGCAAGGTATGCACTGAACTCCTTGTCAATTAGATGGAAAGAACAGGACAAAGCCTCACTGGCACTGTTGCACTCAGCTGTGGAAGGCCAAGGTTTTTTTCTCAGAATGGGAACAAAGAGGTCGAGTCTCACCACTTAGTCAACACAGGACAGGAAGTCCTAATTCCTGCAATAAAGCAAAGCAAAGAAATAAAAGGCACATAGATCGAAAGGAAGAAATAAAACAGCTCCTCTGTAAGATGATATGGCCCAACTGTCCACATAGGAAATCTCAGGAAATCCACAGAGACTCCCAGAACTGGTCAGCCAGTTTAGCAATCTTCCAGCACATGAGGTTAATACACACATACCAAAGACATTTCCATACACTAACGACAAACACGAGGAAACTAAAAATACAACAACATAAGCACTGCAGAAAGAAAGCCGGTTTTTCTCCAGGTCCCTTGAGTCCCAAGGAGCTCCCGGCCAGAACCCCTCGGGAGGAAGCAGAGGATAGCTCATGTGGCCCTGCCAGCTACCACGAGATCCTGGTGAATGGCTCCTGTTTCTGACCTGGTGCAACCCTAGCTATCCTGGGTGTTCGAGGACTGAATCAGTAGATGGATGATCTCTCTCTCTCTCTGTCTCTCTCTAGCTTTGCCTTCCAAATAAATGAAAAAAAAAATACATTTAAAGAGTTATATTTGAGGACCAGTGCAGTGTTGTAACAAGCCAATCCTCCACCAGTGGCTCCAGCATTCCATATGGGCACAGGCTTGAGTCTCCGCTGCTCTACTTCTGATCCCACTTCCAGCGAATGGCCTGGAAAAGACACGGAGTGGGCCCAAGGCCTTAGGCCTCTGCACTCACATGGGAGACCCAGAAGAAACTCGTGGCTCTCAGTTTTGGAGCAGCCCAGCTCTGGCCATCGTGGCCATCTGAGGAATGAACCAGTAGGTGGAAGCTCTCTCTGTCTCTCTCCACCCCTCTGTAACTCTGACTTTAAAGCAAAAATAATATATTTTTAAAAATGTAACCACTTGGATATAAACTTAATAAAACAAGAACCTACAGAAAATCAGATGCTGATGAAAGCAATAAAAGATTCAAATTAAATGAAAAAAAAAATTGTACTCATGAACTAGAACTCATGACAGAGATGTCATTTCTCCACAAAGTGATGTATAGGTTAAATGCAATTCTTATAAAAACATCTCAACAGGAAACTTATACAGGAAGTTTAATACAAAAGTATAGCCTTTACAGCTGCAAGAATCTTGAAAGATGTATAATTCTACTTGATAGTAAGGTCTACAGTATAGTCATCGTAATAAACAAGACAGCTTGGTACAGGCTGACAGAAAAACAGAATGGCTTCATGATTGGTTGTGAGTAAAAACTTCTGGGCACATGAACAGCACTAGCTTGGGTAAAGTTAACCTGGACAAAACTTAAAAATTGGTTTTCAAATGACATTAAGAAAGTAAAAAAATCAAGCATCGCTTTCAATATTTTTTTTTCTTATTTCAGGAGAATACATAAAATTTCAGCTATTATATACTTTGCATTTTTCTAATTTCACACACGCACACACACACAGAATGAGAGCTTCTATCATGTGGTTCACCTCCCCAGTACCTGTGATGGCCAGGCTTGGGCTGTCAGGACCTCAGTCCAGGTACCCTATATGTAGCACGGACCCAACTGCGTAAGGCAATCTCCCATGGTCTGCATGAGCAGGAAGCTCCAATGGGAACTGGGGCAGGCACCAAAGCTGGGCATGCCTACACGGGACCCAACTGAACCATGAGGACAAACAGCTGCCTTTACTTCCAAGTTTTCAAAATTAGAAACTCAGTTCTCTGTGTTCATCTACTCCATGATGTATACATTTGTGAAATACCAAATGAAATGAACTTCAGACACAAAAAGATCTTAAATATCAAGTGCATTTTTGGGGACTAACAATTTTTTTTTTATTTTTTAAGATTTATTTATTTGAAAGGCAGAATCAAAGGCAGAGAGGGAGAAAGAAGCCTTGCATTCATTGGTTCACTCTCCACATAGCTGCAACAACCGGGCAGGGTCTGGCAGAAGCCAGGAGTCTGCAGTTTTATCTGGGTTTCCCATGTGAGTGGCAGTGGCCCAAGCACTTGGATCTGCTGCTGATTTCCAAGGTGCATTAGCAGAGAGCTGGATGGGAAGAGGAGTGGCCAGGCGCTCACACAGGATGCCTGTGTGGCAGTTTAACCTCTATGTCACAACACCAGCCTGCTCCCTATTGGAGATTACTGTTCCATGAAAATCATTCATAGAAAGGCTGCACTTCACATCACAACTGTTGAGACTGGAAACGCAGGGCATCCAGGCAAAAGAGACGACTCCAGGAAGAGGTGGGTTACACGCACAGAAGCTCATTGTTTGCTAGATCACCACGGCCTGCCTCCAAGCTCAAGAGATGGGATGGGTAACCCGGTTGTGTCGTGTTTGTGTGGCAAAGAAATCCAAGGTGCATCTGCTTAGCTGCTTCTGTGAGCCTCATCTAAGAACATTCAGCCTCTGTTTGTGTCTTAGTCACTGGAATCACTAGAAACACCAATACATCAACTGCCTTAAGCATTCATTTGCGTTGGTTAAAGCTGTGATGGTGGAGAACTGTAATAGGAAAATAATCAGTA